AGTAGGATGGCTATAATATTTGTCTCTTTTCCCTGACTATTCTTTCCAATTGAAAAGGCTTACTGATGTCACTATCTTTGTTGAATCTTTGCTCTGATACTTTAATCCATTCAAAGGTTTTAAAAGTACATTATAGCCACAACTTTAAGTTTGACCCTGACTATAAGGCTGAGTTTTAGTTGGTCTTTGTTGTGTAAATATTTTGTAATTTTTGAATATTTTTTAAAGTTTAATTTTTTTTTTTTGGTTTAAAATCAGTTCACCATTTTCAACTTTGCAAAGTCTTACATTTCTTGACTCACTCTATTTCCTTTCATTTCTGTTTGAAAATTGGCTAAATCATTCAGCAGCCAATAATTTTCATATAATGCTTTGCCAAATGCTGCCGATAATGACCAATATGTGCTATTAACATTATATTTTCCATCTATTTATTTTAGAGCTATAGGTATATTAGGATATAATTTGCTTTCCAAGCTATCATAGGAGGCATTTTTACCAAATATCTCATACTGCATAAAATAGATTTTCAGCCTTATAATATCCATTAACTGCTTCCTTGCCACCAATTGCCTGAACACCAAGCCAATACCAAAATGTTAGGCTTCTGTTTTGCCAGCATCCTTTTCCTGATACTAATTTCTGAATCAGTTAGGTAGGCTAGATTATCTTGCATTAATTAAAAAAAAAAAAAGAAAAATCCTAGTTGCTTACAACAATAAAAGTATAGTTCCTTCTCATGCTCCATTTCCAACATAATTTGGCATGGCCCTCAGTACGTTCATGGACCTAGGCTGAAGGAAGTTCCATGTTAATGTGCTTCTGTGATTGCCATGGCAGGAAAGGAAAAGGGGTATGGAACCACATGCAATGGCACTTCAATAGTTTTGCATAGAAAGGACATATATTCCTTCTGTTCATATTTCACTGGCCAAATCAAGTTACAAAGCATGCCTGACTTCAGGGGGAAGGTGGAGAAGGAAATGTATTTCTGTTAAGCGCCTAGGAGGAGAATCAGAGTATCTTAAACAGTCCTAATGATTGCCATGATGGCAATACCTAGGCTGGAAGAAATGATTGCTGGCAATAGTGGAGATATTTAGGATTATGGCACACTGACTATATGTGAGACTAGCCCTGCTCCCATTGTTGCAGGCAATAAACATGATGCTTTTCTCCATATGGCTTTCATTACAGCTTCATTTCATTAGGAAATCAGTAGGGGTATTCTGTAGCATTATAGAAATACCAGCAATCAGACCAACCAAGTTGCCTACAAAGTCGGCAGTGCTTCTTCAGTCATGGTTTGAATTGTGTCCCCTCAAAATATGTGTCATCTTGGCTAGGCTATGATTCTCAGTGGTTTGGCAGTTATGTAATGATGTCATCATGCCTTATGATGTGATAAGCCAATTGGTTGTTAAGGGGATTAAGGAGGGATGCAACACCCTTATTCAGGCCACAATCCTAATCCAATGTAAGGAGAGTGCCCCTGGGGTATGCCCTGCATCAATTTTTTTTATCTCCCAAGAGATAAAAGGAGAAAGAAGTGAACAGAGGAGGGAGCTGAGTACCACCAAGAAAGAAGAGCCAGGAGTGGAGCACTTACATTAGACCCAGGGTTCCTGCACTGAGAAGCTCCTAGACCCAGAGGAAGATTGATGCCAAGACACATGGTAGGCCCAGAGCTGACATGGAGAAAGCCTTTCCCTAGAGCTGACACCTTGAATTCAGAGTTGTAGCCTCCTAAACTGTGAGGGAATGAATTTTTGTTTGTTAAAGCCATCCACTCGTATTATTTGTATCATAGCAACACTAGAGAACTAAAACAGCTTCCTTCAAATATTCAGCAAGGAAAAATAAATTCATAGGAGGATCTCGGTTCCCTTTTTCCCCTAAGACTATGGATACGAAACAGAATTTGAAATTCTGTGGTAATAATGATAAGAAAAACATGATGTTGACAATAAGGACTTTGAGGATACTTTTTTATGGTAGTGTTGACACTGATATGTTATTAATGTTACCTTCTTTTTCTGGCAAAAGTGCCCACATTAAATTTGACCAAGTGTGGGAGCAGGTAGCAGAACTTACACTGGAATTAGGGTAGGTGATCGCCTTGTTAGGCTCAGTATGACCCAAAAGGGCAGTAAAATTTTAGGAAAGTTAATTGTGTAGCATGTAATTTTTTTTTGTTTTGTAAGGTGGACATAATCATAGGGACTATGAAGAGAAGTTTGTTTCCCCAGCCCAAGTATATATAAGAAGTTCCTAGAAGGAATATTTCATTTCAAAACGATCCCAGAATTCTTGATTTAGTTGGTAACAATATTTAAAAGTATGTAGAGTTACTGGAAAATAGTCTATAGTGGGAGAAAGAGACATAAAGGAGATTTTAGTGTAAAAGGAAAAATCTTGCTGGGCTTAATGGGCAATTCTGGGTCAAATCTCAAGTTCTACAAAATGTGTAGCTGGATGACCTTGGGAAAATACTTATACTCTTTAAACTTGAAATCCTCACTTGTGATAAAGTGGAAATAGTACCTCCTTATAGGACATTTACAAAGATTAAATGGGATAATGAATTAAATGTGCTTAGCTCAGGGGCTGGCACTTTGAAGGTGCTTTGTAGTTATTGACTCATCACCTGCCTCCTCACAGAAGGAAATTCTGAAAGCAAGTGGAGAGGCTTGTCCTATGCTTTGGAAAAATGAGAAGGCATTTCAGGAAAAATACCAAAACCGAAACTCGTAGTCATTGAGTCAATTCTGACTCAGAGGACAAAGTCGAACTGCCCTACAGGGTTTTCAAGGCTGTGACCTTTATGAAAACAGAATGACACATCTACCTCCTGAGGAGTGGCTAAGTGAGTTTGAACTGCTGACCTTTTGGTTAGCAGCTGAGAGCTTAACTCCTGTGCTACCAGAGCTCCACAGGAAAAACAGAGCAAGAATATTGCTACAGAATTTCCAGATTTTCTGAGTAGTCACAAGACCTCTTCTCCCAGCTCCAGATTTTTATGATGCTGTTTTAGTCTCTTTTCTACTCTTCTTATTTGTCTGCTTATTATTTGCTCTTTTTCTTTCTGTTCATCCCCTCCTTTAAAAAAAAAATAATAAATTATTGTAGGCTCTAAGTTTACCCTCTCTTTTCTTCTGTTATCTTTTCTTCTTCATATTGTTCCATCACTCCATTAACTCCAATCTATATTTCTCTTTCTCTCTCATTTTGTTTTTTCTCTTTTATAATTTGTTCAGCATAGTTAGTTGCCCTGGAAGTCTATGAAAGTAGGCTGGGTATGACTTTGGTGCACCTCTGCCTGCCCCTTTCCGTAGCTCTCCTCAGTGAGTTCCATGACCCTTAGTGGAACCCCTTCCTCTGTACTATGTAACTGTTTAAGATCCTGGGCTTTAGCAATGTGTTTCCCTCACTAAAATCTATTCTTAGAAATGGACTTGATCAACTCAGACTCACAAAAAATGTTAATAACTTATAAAGTTTGGTGCTTTACTTTTCCCAAAGGTACTAGAACTTCAATCAAGTATAAAGCCTTTAGCCAAAGAAATAAATCTCTAATGATAATTTCAAGCAATGGAAATGATAGAGCAGTTTCTCTGGGACAGGAGACCTTCCCTGCCACATCTGCCTATTCACAGGGCTTGTTCTGCTTTGATATTTTAGAAAAAAGTGGAAGAAATAGATGCAGAGAAAGCTAGAGTTAGATTTAACCATATTCTGGTACACGCAAACATCAGTTTGGGGCTAAAAACTATCTCATTGCAGAGGGATTATGTGCAATAGATGCAACAATTAATTTCAAGTAAATTGGTTCAATATGGATTTTTCATCCCTTCTGTATTTTATCAATTTTAATGTAATTTGCAAGGTTATATAATCTCCATTATACATGTTTGCAAATAGCATGAATCATTATAACCATAGAACCTTATGCACCTGAGTCTTAGCAGCTCAGTGGGGATTACCAAATGTCAGCCAAGCCATTCTATCCACTGTGGGCCCAGTGCCTAAGGTCTGTATGCTTTTCAAGGGCCTGTACAAATATTTAACCCCTGGAAAATTTTAGCGGTTCTCAAATATGAAAAATAAATAATAAATGTAGACTTGAATATCTACAAATATAAACATGCCATCTAGTTATTGCTTAATTATTTTGTCATTCCACATAAATTATATTTAATGTGGGAGGTAAATATATTTTAATACAGTTGATGTGATATGGGATGGATCTTCCACATATAATAAGAGCACAGGGTCCCTCAAGGTCTTAGAACAGCTCTGAGTATCAGAGATTTGAAAATGTGAACCAATGTGGAAAAATGTGATACTGTCTCTCCAGAATAAGGGAAGTCTTTGAGCCCAAAATGGAGCCATTAAACATCATATGGAGCACAGTGCTACTCTGATACATGTGGGGTCCCATGAGTCGGAACTGACTTGATCGCAACTGTTTTTTTTTTTTCATGGTTTAGGTAGGAGACATTGCATTCCATGTGCCCCTATCCAGTTACAGAAGTGGATTGAGGGATGAGGTAGCTGGAAGGGGACCACCAATATCAGTGAAATAAGCCAAAATTGAGGAAGACAGTTTTTGCCAGGATTTCTCTGGGAAAGAAACTGTTATACATAGTTAGGAAGATATTCATTGATAAGCAGCTTTAGATGGGATTGGGAAGCTCAAGGCATGCTTCAGAGTCAAGAGGTGGTCCCCCAAATGCCTCTTAGGTCTGTTGAGTGGCAGGTCTTTTGTTTTACTAAGGGGGGTGGGTTGTGCAAGTTTGGAGACAGAGCTGAACTTCCCAGGATTGAGTGTCCCCACCAGTAGCCTTTCTGCCCTTCCCCAAACAGTCAAGCTGCCCTCTAAAAATATGTTGAACTAATACTTAAAGAATATCTGTTTGAAGAGACATGAAATTACTAGCTGCCTAGTTGTCCACAGCCCTGTATTTGGTCCAGCACTGGCCAAGTGTGACCCATCATACCTCAATGTCATAGCCGATGCCATGGGCTTTACACATCTGGAGGAAAACATAGTGGAAAACCAGGGAAAGATTGCTGTGCTTTAGCTGGGTGGTCATTACTGCATAGCGACTGGTTGCTGATGACTGGAAAAGACCATGGCTGAATGTTAGAATTTAAAGAATACATTTAAATAATCTTTTCATTTTAGCATATTTGTAGATTTACAGAAAAGTTGCAAAGATAATACATAAAGTTCCCATACACTTCACTGCCAGTTTCACCGACTGTTATCATCTTACATTGTCACAATGGAGGAACCAAACTTACACTGCTATCAACCAAACTCCGTATTTTATTCAGATTTCATTAGTTTTCCCTAATGTCCTTTTCTGTTCCAGGATCCCATCCCAGATACCAGATCTCATTTAGTCACCATGTTTCCTTAAGTTCCTCTTGGCTGTGACAGTTTCTCAGAAGTTCCTTGTTTTTGATGACCTTGACAGTTATGAGGGGTACTGGTCATGTATTCAGTAGAATGTCCCTAGATTTGGGTTTGTGTGATGTTTCTGTCATAGTTAAACTGAGAGAATGGGTTTTTGGAAGGAAGACTACAGAAGTGAAGTGCTATTCTCAATACATCGTAACAAGGATACATGCCATCAACATGACTTTTCACTGATGTTAACCTTGATCACCTAAGATCACCTGCTTGCCAGGTGTCTCCACTGTAAAGTTACTTATTTCCTCTTATCATTTAAGGGATGAGGAGAGGAGAAATGTTAGGATTTTTATTCTAACTGCTTTCTTTGTTTGAAAACTACTTTTTTTTTTTTTTTTGTCTAGGTTGCTTGTCTATCAGCGGGAGTTCTCCCAAGGGCACTGGTTACAGTAAGGCCCAAAGTATTTTGTTTGTATATGTCCTAAAAACTTTAAAAAAAAATTTTTTTTTTTTTTAAATTGTGATTTGGGTGAAAGTTTACAGAGCAAATTCATTTTCCATACAGCAGTTCCACACTCTCAGTTCACTTTGTCTCATGACATTGACTACAATTTCCCACAAGGCAACGGCTCTCTTCCCACTTCTCCATAGTTACCTATCCTGTGTCCTTCCCTCCCATGCACTCTTGCCCCATTAGCTGTTTCCCTGTGCATACACAGCCCTTCTACTCACCATGATTGATCTCTCCAAGGAGTGTATCTACCTAATGTAAATATTCAGCTCATATGCCTGTCTTTTGTTTGTCTGGAAGCCACGGGAGTGGGTTCAATTCCAAACCTGAATGGCAACTAGGGGCCATAGTCTCAGGGGTTCCACCAGGATCTACAGACCAGCAAACCTGGTCTCCCCCTTTTTTTTTTTTTATGATTTTGAGTTTTGTTCCACATTGTTCTCCCACTCTGTCCAGGATCTCCTACATAGATCCCCCTCTGAGTGGTTGCCAGTGGTAGCCAGGCACCATCTAGTTCTTCTGGTCTCATAATCATATAGGCTGAGGATCACATGGTGTACCAGTACCTTGGACTAATTGTTTCCATGCATCTTTGGTTATCTTCATTCTTCTTTGCTCTGGATGAGGAGAGACCCATCATTGCGTCTAGATGGCTCCTTGCAAATGTTTAAGATCCCAGTTGCTACTCACCAAAGTAGGATGTGGAACAATGTTTTTGTGTAGTATGTTATGCTATTTCCTAAAAGCTTTTAATATACCCTGAGACTGGAAGAACTAGATGGTGCCTAGCTACCACTGTCAACCACTAGGAAAGGAATCAAAATAGGAGATCCTGGATAGAGTGGGAGAAAAATGTGGAACAAAACTCAGGATCATAGAGACTGGTGAAACCCTCAAGATTATGGCCCCTAGTCACCCTTTGGGGCTAGAATTGAACTTGCTCCTGTCACTTCCAGTCAAACAACAGTTGCATATAAGGTGAACATTTACACCAGGTAGGTACACTCTTTACAACAATCAACCATGGCAGATCAGAAGGGCAGTATTTACATAGGGAGATAGCTCAGAGGGCAGGCATGCATAGGAAAGAAGGACACAGGCAAAAGGTAACCACAGGGAGGAAGTGGGAAGAGAGATGTTACACTGTGGGCATTACAATCAATGTCATGAAACAAAATGTGTATGAACTGTTCTATAGAAAATGAATTTGCTCTTTAAACTTTCACCCAAATCACAATAAAAACAACAACAAACTTATAACATAAATAAAATATGCACAAAATAAAGTATTGGATGCTAGCAGGAGAGGAGGCAAGGTAATTATCATGTGTCCTTTGTAAGATATGATATTTGTTTTTGACAATCAACTGTGTCCTTGTATATCTGGAAATCTGTAGAACTGTATATAGGGCCTTGGCCAATTTTACTCATTGGTGTCGAGTCAATTCTGACTCAGAGTAAACGACCCTATAGGATAGAGTAGAACTGCTCTAATAAGGTTTACAAAGCTGTAAATCTTTAAAGGAAGCAAATCGCCACATTTTTCTCCCATGGAGCGACTGTTAGGTTCAAGCTGCCACACTTCTGGTTAGCAGCCTAGCTGTTAACCACTGTGCCATCAGGGCTCCTATGGCCAGCCTTAGGGCAGGGGAAATGAAGGTGACTGGCCCAGATTACGAATGCCGGGGATGCTCTGATGCTGGATAACTGAGTACACGGTGCTGTTGTTGTTGTTGTTATGTGCCGTCGAGTCGGACCCAACTCATAGCAACCCCTCCTTGGGTTTCCAGGGCAATATCACTATGGAAGTAGATTGCCTCATCGTCCTTCCGAGGAGTGGCTGGTGGGTTTGAACTGCCAGCCTTCTGGTTAGCACTCAAGTGCCTTAGGCACTCCACTACCAGAGCTCCTGAGTACATGGTGCAGTGACTTGGAATAGAAGGAAAAGGAAGTGCTGCTGATCCAATGCTGGCTGCAAGGGATCAGAATGACCTGTCACTCCTTTTAATCAGATCTTGGCCTCTATCACTGTCTCTGAGATAATACAGGGTAACTGACTGAGTGCCCAACAAATAATGAACTCCTTTTCTCCTCCTATATCTCTCTCTCTCTCACACACACAGACTTGTACATCCCCACACACTCAGATTGCATGTTTACCTCTTGTAACATATCCACCCACTTAATGTGTCTTCTTTCAGAAACACTTAGATCCAGTACTTTATCTGTGGATCACATCACAGCATCATTGATTTAGGCTGCTCTTCATACACTGAACCAAAGTCTATGTCTATAAAAAATGTTAAGCCTCACAAGTGAGTCCACCTTGTGTTGTGCACCTCTATTAATATTGCCCCATTGGTAACCATTTTTTTTTTTTTTAAAGAAAATTGATTTGACCATCATATACCTCACAACTGTACTGTCTCATCACAGTGGCCTGTAATGAATTATTCCCTTGGCTGTCTCCCTTACATAATTAGCGGTTCTCTGAGGGCAGGCACTCTTTGGTTTTTTAATCCCTAGCATTGTGCATGATGCTAGCAGAGAGCAGCACTTAGTGTTTCTTGAACGAAAAAAAAGAAAGAATAAATAAAATAGAAAAGCAGATGGCACTTCCCTCTAAACTAAGAGATGCTTAAAAGGTGATAAATCAAGGGACTTCTAGTCCATGAGTGCTTTGAAGCAGGTAACTTACAAGCACAGAGGAGAGTCACAACTATCCTTAGAGAATGACAATTCAGAGCAATCACTCCAGGCCTTGCCCTCTGGAGGACATCTTTTGGAGGACGTGATAGCTCGATGACTTAGGAATTATTGGTGGGGTGTTGTTGTGTGCATTGGGTCAATTCTGACTCACAGTTGACTCTTTAGGACAGAGTAGAACTTCCCCATAGGGTTTCCAAGGCTATGATCTTTATGGAAGTAGACTGTCATATCTTTCTCCCAAAGAGCAGCTGGTAGGTTTGAACTGCAGACCTTTTGGTTAGCAGCCAAGCTTAACCACCAGTGCTCCCACCTTCACAAAGAAGCTTGAGATTTTGTATATGGAAGTGAACTGTAAATACTCTGGAATTCCATTGTGGTTACTGAGCATGTAATTGCGTGGTAATTACCATGAATTCACAAGATAATTCCAAGGTTATTTTTGTGTTCTAAACTTGTCTTAGGCTGCCATAGTATATAAACTAGTAAAACAAAGATCAGGCCCAAGTCAGTGAGGGAGGTAGCCAGGCATCTGGGAGCAGAACCCAGCTCAGTACAATGTTCCTTGGCTCCCAAATGAGTGGAAGGGCTCACTGTCCAATAGGACATGATTCCTGGGCAGCAAATAAAAATAGGCTGTCCTGGGATTTCTTCTCTTTAGAGGTAGACTGTAATTGTCCTTCCTCATGGACTCTGGGGGTGGTATTCATAACGATGCAGAAAAAAGAGCCAGGGTAGGTGGTATATGTCTCCCGACTGCCTCTTCTTTCGCATTGAACCTAATCCAGACCTCTATTGCCTGGAGAGCTGCCTCTCTTTCTGCCTTGGAGAGGTTGGGAACATGAGCAGAATTCTGTAGCAGAAAGGTCATATGTGACTTTGGACTCAGAAAACTGACGTTCCAAACCTGACTAGTCCACTTAATATTTGTGTAATCTTGCAGATGTCATTTAACTTCTCTAACTAGTGATGATTAAATAAGCTCCTAGCACAGTGCTTGGCATCTGATAAATGTAGCTACTATTATCTGTCACTGTTCCTTTGAAAGCATCTACAAGGCCTGCAACAGTTTGGACCTATAATAACTGTAATTTCCCAGGCCTTTCCTTCTTCACTGGTATGCTGGTCTCCTTGGATTCTGTGCATTACTGCTAGATTGTTCATTTTCTCAAACCCAGGTTGGTCAATGTCATTCCCCTGCCTCCAGTGTCTCTTTTTTGCCTTCAAAATGAAGTCCAGAGACGCTGGTTGGCAGGTAGACCCTCCCAGCTATGTTCAATGGACTGCCCCAACCATTTTTCTCTCTCTGCTTCTATTCTCTGATTCTCTGCTCCGATTCAGCTGGTTCATCTGCCATCCCCTAACAGACCCCAGGCTCTCTTCAACCTCTCTTTCCTCTGATGGGGGAGGTCTCCTCCTCCTCACTTTAGTGACTTCCCTACCTTTTAAGACTGGACCAAGTTCTGGGTTTTTAGTAAAGTGTCCCC